CCTTGGTCATCATGGAGAATGTGAAGTTCCCTACGTACGGTGAGATTGTGAACGTCAACTTGTCGGACGGTACCTGGGCTCTTTGTGTGGGACTGTTTAGGGTTTGGGGTTTAGGGTTTTAGGGTTTTAGGTTTAGGGTTTAGGGTTTTAGGTTTAGGGTTTAAGGTTTAATTCTTAACTTAACATAGAACTTCAATGGCAATGTGATTGCGTTCTAGACCAAATAAATAGCATGGTGACCTTCCCATATGCATTATGTTGTTAGTCTTTATCACTGCTGCTTGTATGGGAGCTTTCCCTAAACCCTGAACCCTAAACCCTGAACCCTAAACCCTGAAGCCTAAACTCTAAGACTATAAGTTCTTGAGCGAGAGCCCAGGCACTGTACGCCAGGGTCAGATTTTGGAGGTGAACAAAAAGAAAGCCATCGTGCAGGTGTTCGAGGGAACCAGCAACATTGAGACTCGGTCTATGGGGGTTTAGGGTCTACAGTGTTTAGGGTCTACAGTGTCTACAGGTTTGGGCTTTCAGGGTTCAGGGTTCGTAGGGTTTGCGTTAGACCTCTATGGGATTTACGAGGCTTGCTTGCGGCTTTTCACGGTGGTCCGGCTTTAGGGGGTTAGTGTAAGCATTCTAGGTCCCCCAGCTGAAGAGTAGGAAAAGGGTCATCCGTGTTAAGAAGGGGTTGCCCTAAACCCTCAGCCCTAAACCCTAAACCGCTAGGATAACAGAGATTGCCACATCGAGTTCACCGGCGATACCCTGAAGATGCCAATCTCAGACGACCTCATGGGTCGAGCTTTCAATGGCTCCGGAAAGCCACTTATGATTATACAGTTTAGGGTTTCGAGTTTAGGTTACTAGCGTAACACCTTTAACCTTTTTGGTGTTTAGGGTTTCACGTTTTTTAGGGGGTTTTAGGGGTAGGGGAGTAGAGTAGGTAACCTTTAGCCTTTCTTCGGTGGGAATAGAATCCAAAATGTTAACTTGTGGTTCCCCTATTGGACACTGGACACGTACCTAGACCCTCTATCTCCCCGTTATTTGGGACCACATATCCCTGATTTCAGGGTACAAGGAGGGTCCCCCAAACCCTAAACCCTAAATCCCTAAACCCTAAATCCCTAAATCCCTATACCCTCTTTGCAAGGCCGATTGACAAGGGGCCTTCCGTCTTGGCAGAGGATTTCCTGGACATCAATGGGGCGCCCCTCAATCCAAAGTCGCGCGTCTACCCGAAGGAGATGATCCTAGGCTCAGAGTCGTTTGTTTAGGGTCTAGGGTCTAATCCCCTCCAATTTGTTTTCTTTTTGTTTTTTTGGAGGGGGATTTTGTGGTGAACAGGAAGAGTAGCAAGAAAGGGAATGGTTTTTGCTGAGGGGCGACTTGGCAACCTAGGATTCAGACTGGCATCAGTGCCATCGACACCATGAACTCTGTGGTGCGTGGGCAGAAGCTGCCGCTTTTCTCAGCGGCCGGTCTGCCCCACAACGAGATCGCTGCACAGGTGTGTCGACAGGCATCGCTAGTCAAGGGAAAGGATGTGATGGATCACACTCAGGAGAACTTCAGCATCGTCTTCGGTGCTATGGGGGTCAACATGGAGACGGCACGATTCTTCAGGAACGACTTCGAAGAGAACGGTTCCATGGAGAATGTCGTGCTCTTCATGAACCTGGCAAACGATCCAACCATCGAGCGAATCGTCACACCCCGCCTAGCCCTCACGACGGCCGAGTACTTCGCATACACGCGCGAGCAGCACGTCTTCGTCATCCTTACAGATATGAGCTCCTACGCCGACGCTCTTCGAGAGGTGTCGGCTGCCCGTGAGGAGGTGCCAGGACGCCGAGGTTACTTAGTAGCTGAGCAGGCGAACTTTGTTTGACTGCTTTGCTTTTTGGGCGACTATGTCGCCCTCAGCATTTCAACCATGAAAGGTGTGCCTGTGTTCCTCTCTGAGAAGAGCAGCCAAGGATATCCCGGTTACATGTACACGGACTTGTCCACAATTTACGAGAGAGCTGGCCGCGTCGAGGGTCGCAACGGCTCGATCACGCAGTTCCCCATTCTGACTATGCCCCTAGGTATAGGCCTTTGGGATATTTTGTAATTTCCTTGATTGGGCTCATGCATGAGATGTTATTTGCGAGTATTTGTCAGAGGCCGTGTAGAGGGCCAGCCTAGGCCCAACGATGACATCACTCACCCGATTCCGGACCTGACTGGCTACATCACAGAGGGCCAGGTCTTCGTGGACCGATCCCTGCACAACAGGCAGATCTATCCGCCTATCAACGTGCTACCATCCCTCAGCCGATTGATGAAGTCCGGAATTGGAAAGGGCATGACACGAGATGACCACCCCAACGTGTCTGATCAGCTCTATGCGAACTACGCCATTGGCCAGGACACACGCGCCATGAAGGCAGTTGTTGGTGAGGAGGCCCTCAGCGAGGATGAGCACAAGTACTTGGAGTTTACCGACAAGTTTGAGCTCAAGTTCCTCACGCAGGGCCCCTACGAGAACCGCGACATCTTCGCCTCCCTCGACATTGCCTGGACCTTGCTGCGCATCTTCCCACAAGAGCTTCTGAAGAAGATCCCCCAGAAGCTGAAGGACAAGTACTACGACCGTGAGAAAGAGATCCAGAAAGCCGTGCAGTCTCTAAAGTGAGTTGTAGGGCTTGTTGATGTGCGTCTACGGTGCATCAGAGATGCAGGGGTGCACTAGAAAGCCGCAGGGGACACGAAGACGACAGCCGTAAAGTGAGGGCAGCCTTGTTCAATAAACTCTTGGAGCACTCCGGTGCGTCTCCCGTTGCTGTGATGTTGAAGCAGACTGGCTTGCTTAGCGGGTCCTTAACCCTAAAAGCCCTAAGCCCTAAAATCCTTGACCCCTAAACCCCAGAAGCCCTAAACCCTAAGCCCAAAACCGATCAGTCTGGGAGCTGCATTCGACTTATACGCTCATGAAGCCAGAACGTGGCAAGCATGGCCTTTTGAGCCGAAAACGGATCGCGCAGCCTTACCTAGTGCAGTGCAGTTCTGAGAGGCCGAAACCCTTCCGAAACGATGAATCGCGCACACCTTCAAGACTAAACTGTGAGCCCTATAAAGGCCACGGAGACTGATCATACTAATCAAGCCCTAAACAACCCCATAAACCTTATGAGCCATATAAAAAGTATAAGCCCTATCAGCCCAACAGCCCAAAGCTTTTGCATGACCGGCACAGTCAAGGTAAGGCTTCGAGAAAGCGCGGTAGACCTGGGCACTTACCCTAAGGGTCCATGTATCCAAATAGATATACTTTGGCCTTAATGTAGTCCCTATTTGGGTACTTTGGGGCCTATGTATATCTATTTGGCTACATGGACCCTTAGGGTTAGGTTTCCAGCCGACAGTCTTTGTACTTATAGGGGTTTAGGGTCTGGGGCTTAGAGTCTTGGGTTTTTGTTTAGGGTCTAGGGCTTAGAGTCTTGGGTTTTTGTTTAGGGTTTAGGCCGCAAAAGGAGCCCTCATATAGAACCCTATAATAAGCCTTAAAAGGAACTGTGTTCTAGAGTCCTTTGGGTACCCTGAACGGTTCCCGATAGTCTTGGGCTTCTAGCTGGGTCTTAAGAGCAGTTTTGCATTTCTTCGACGAATTGTAAGCCCAAGGAGTGGGTATGAGCACCTTCTTCTGGCTTTTGGAACTGTAACCTCTAGGGGTCGTTTCAAGCATGGGTTTAGGGTTTTGGGGTTTGGGGTTTTGGGTTGTTTCGAACTATACCCCCTAGGGGAGGTTTGAACCATGTTTTTTACTTCTGGCCAGGCTGTTGACAAATGTAATGGCGAAGCCAAGCAGAATCAAGACACTGTCGTGAAGTAAAGCACGTCACGAGATCTTTTGCCACAGACCCTGATTCCTCGACGACCCTACCACAAGCTTATTCTGTCGAAGCATTGCACAAGCTAGCCCAGCCTTGCCATAACCCCATCCTAAACCAAAGCCCTGATGCACCGACCACTCCCGATAGACCTCGCCTGGACTTGTTCGAGTTGTGAGAGTGTAAACCCTAAACCCTAAAGCGTAAACCTTAAATCCTAAACCCTAAACCCATAACCCAAACCCTAAACCCTAAACCCAAACCCTGAACCCACGCTGAACCCTACACCCTGAGACTGACCAGCTGCAACAGGGAGCTTTAAGAAGCACCCCCGAAGATAAGCCCCCAATAGTAGTGGGCTCCCTTTCAGGGTTTAGGCTTTAGGGGCTGCGGCAGGGGGTTGAGGCTTTAGTATTGAGGGTCTATAGAAGAGCTCAATGTAATAACTGTAAACCCTTACGAATCCCTTACTTAAATAGGACACCCTCGAACCAAAAAACAACCCCTTAAACCCTAAACCCTAAACCCTCAATGGAACGGGAAAACCCTGCATCCCCCGATAGACCCCGTCGTGACTCCTTTCAACAAAAGAGGAACTTTGAGCGATGCGCTCTTAAAAGCAACTCTTAAGAGGAACCCATAGCATCCTTAAGCCCTAAACCCTACCTAAACCCCCAAAAGTAGGCAAAATAATGGCCCAAAACCCATAAAAGGCTATTGTTCTACATACTTTTGGGGTCCAGGTAAACACTATGAAGCGCCTTGCCTGCCTGGTGCGAGTGTGAGAGTCGAAAACCCTAAACCCGAAAGCTCTAATCTTTCAAAGCACTCCGGATCACGCAAGTCACGAAGTTCGGTCACCCCGGCTTTGCAGCGAACCGAACCATGGGTTCAGGGGGTAGGGTTCAGGGTCTAGGGTTGAGGGTTGATGGTTTAGGAGGTAGGTAGGGTTAAGGGTTTAGGGTTTAGGAGGTGGGGGTTTCGGGTTCTTGCAGTGGCTATGGGGTTTAGGGTTGATAGGCTTTAGGGTTCAGGGTTTATGATTTAAAAGGGCTGTAGAGTTGGGAGGGAGGGAGAGCGAGAGAAATATAGCATAGAAGAGTCGCTATCTCTGGGAACAGCACGAGACTGCCGAAGCCTTGACATCTCACAAAGCTGCGGAGGCAACTTCTCTGAGCAGTTCCCAGAACTGCGTCTTGAGTCAGTTGAGTGTTTGTAGCGGGGCCCCAAAGAACATAAGCATAATATAATAATAACTTAAGATTGGGATATCCCATATCAAAACCCCTAAACCCTAAACCCTAAACCCTAAAACCCTAAAGCCTAAACCGTGATATAAGGAAGCCCACGAATGGCAGGGGTCGCTTATGTCCTCTTTTTTTGGGGGTCCTCATGAACAAATTCAACCCGTCTGTGAGATCCTCAAGAGGAAGGATCTCTCATTTTTGAGATCTCTTCTGTTGAGGTCTGTTGAGTGAATATATTCGCTCCCATACCCTAGGGCTCCATTTGCCTAAATAGTAGGTTACTGGGGTACATCATATTGTGCTGGTAACCTACTAGTAACTAGTAGGGAGGCCTAGGGATGTGTTTGCTGCAGTTCGCACTTCTGTTCCAAGGCCCTGGGTGTTGTCCCGTTTGCTCTTCGGAGCTAACCCGAGGAAGTCGGGTTGAGGGTTGAGGGTCCCATCCGCATCAAAAGTTGAAAAGATGACGATGCCAGCAGGCCAAATTCGCTAGTAGCCGCTGGAGAGTCACTTTCAGCGACAAAGCAACGTAGAATCGCGTGGCTTTAGGGCAGAAAGGTTTAGTTGCTGGCTCCAAATCCAACAAGACATGACGAAACACTGCAGAGCACCCTTGAATTCCATAGTTATTGCCTTCACGTTTGTGTAGCATCTGTCTATATATGGGGGTTTCCGAAAATAGGGGACCCTAATATCGTACCCTTAATAGTAGGATTCTCATTATACGGACCCCAAAATAAGGTACCCCTAATTTTCGAAAAGCCCCACATATAGATCCTTGAACATCGCAGGGCCTTGGTAAGAGACTTCAATGTGGGTTGCTCTTCGGAGTTAACCCTAGGAAGTCTCTTGATGTGAGTTTTCTCCGACGTGGGAGTTCCTGTTCGGGTTTAGTAATTTAGGGTATAGGGTCTGGGTTTTAGGGGTTTAGGATTTAGGCTTTAGGGTTTAGGGTTTAGCGTTTAGTAACTTAGGGTTTATGGTTTAGGGTCTTAAGGGTTTAGGAAAAAGGGTTTAGGGCTTTAGGGTTCTAGGGCTTTAGGGTTTCGCAATTTAGGGTTTAGGATTTATAGGGTTTCGGGGTATAGGGTTTTGCGGGTTTAGGGGTTTAGGGTTTCAGGTTTCGGGTTCAGGACCTTCGGTCTAGCGCCATGAGTCTCAAACCTTGTTTCGGTAGCGAGCTGGGATGATGTTAAAACTCCTGTACTCCGTTTAAAAAATATAGCCCGAAGAGAAAGCCAAACTGAAAGCCACACAGCTGGGCCTTGAAGAGCTTGCCTCGTTTTAGGGCTCCTTGGCATGACTTCCTTTCTATGAACCCTTAACTTCGTAGGTTCTTCAGGGCCTAGGCAAAGCTTATCCGGGTACCGACTTGGGATGATGTTGTTTAGTTTCCCGTCTTGGTTAGAATCGAGCGCTAACTGCTGGGCACTAACCGTATATTTGTTGGGGCCTGTTGTTCTCGACACCTATAGTTAAAGACTTAAAACAAGCCGTACAACCTAAACTCCCTAAGCCCTAAACAGGCCGTAAAGCCCTAAACCTTAAACCCTAAACCCCAATAGAACAAGCCGTAAAGCCCTAAACCCCTGAACCTCTGAAGCCCACACCTGGAGCCTTCGGCGCCATTTGTGGAACCCCTTATAGGGGTTCAGCCTTTAAGGGTTTAGGGTTTAGGGTTTAGGGTTTAGGGTTTAGGATAGGGGGTAGAAGACCATGACAAAACCCCTTTGGTGAACCCCCATAGGTCTCGAGCCCCCACCCCCCTCCCCACCGTGTCCCAATTAAAAAACAAGGCAGGGAGTGGGAACACCGAGAAGTTGATTCGATCTCAGGCGTCGCACCTTACTTTCTCACCTGCACTTTAGGATTTAGGGTTTCGTGGACGCATAAAGCTATAGACATAGCAGGACCTTTTGCGCCCTAACTATGAAGGCTGATGCACCCCAGAGCACTGATCGTCGAACTCTCTGCCCGGAAGGCTTGATCCTAACAGCCTACAAAACCCGGAGCCTATCCCAAAATCCCAAATCATCCTTGTGCATCTATAGATGACATGCCTTCGAAAGCCCGTTCTGTCTAGTAGGGCCTTTGGCAGCACAAATCCATAAACCCTAAACCTCCAAGTCTTTCAAACTGGGCCTATAGGGTTGTGTGAATTTGTTTTGGACGGTGGCGCTGATAATATAGGGGCCTAAATTAATTACCAATACTGTTCTTTGGGTTTCCTTATTATACTTATAGTATAATGTACACCAAAACCCTATTCTAATCACCAAGGCCCCTATATTAGTAGTTTACCCCCCATAGGGTTCACCGCTTCGCCCGAAGCTTCTAGAAACTCCTGGGTCGCAGCTTGTCGCATGACGCGGGCCTTGTGCTGCTTGCCTCCGAGTTTAGGGTTTAGGGTTTAGGGTTTACTCAGTAGCTGAATTACTACGCTGTAAACTGGTTGGGGTAAGATGATCCCTTATAGAACTGAAGGTGTACACTTTTTTATGCTTATGAACTCGGCAACTAATATTAAGTGCAGCCAGGAGACTTGGTAAGGAGGGTTT